ACTTGTGGTTCCCCCCCCCCCCCCCCGAGCTTGTGCCTTTCACTACTGCATGACCAAACACTTAATAAGGAGAGAAACATGAGTACCACCAGGTATTACATTAATTAAAATGAAGTCTTTTTTTTAAAAAGATTTATTTTATTTAATTTTATTCATTATTTTTAGTTTAGTTTAGTTTAGTTTTTGAAGTTGACCAGAGAGAGATAATGAGAGAGAAGGAGAGTGAGAAAGCAAGCTGCCAGATCTGGGACTTGAACTGCGTGATCAGCCATGTGGGAGTCCAAGTGTCTTAACCACCATGCCACCTGCTGGCCCCTAATTAAAATGAAGTCTTATGAAAGAGGTTATGAAACAAATGACAGTGCAGAGAAGGGATTGACTTATGACCACTGGTGGTGGGACTGTGGTGAAACATCAGAAGTGATTTTGGGGGATGTTGGCTAGGGAGGAGAGTCATGGGACAGGGAATTGGTAGAAGAACATTGGTTCCAGGAACTGTGGAAAGAACATCAGAAGTGAGGAATTGCAGTGTGACTAGAGCAAAGATACAGTGGATGAAGGAGAAAATGTAGCTGAAGCTAAGTTGAAGCCACTTGGACTAAAAAATTAAGTCTCAATTTAAGAATAGTAATAGCCAGACAAGTAGAGGGTGTAATGGTTGTGTTACTGGTTGTGTTGCTGGACTCCTACGTATTTGATTGCAGTTTAAATCCTAGACCTGGTGGCTTAAACTCATGCTAGGTACGTGTGTATGTGTGCCCAAAATTCCAAGAGGAGACTGAAGGAGAAGGGATTGCAGCATGGCCATCCCCCTGTGGGGTGGGGGTGGGAGGGTTGCTTGCTTTCTGCCTCTCTGTCTCTCTGGCAAGTGTATGTGTCCTGTAGCAAAAATCTCTCTCTAAAATAATAATAAAAACGAATAGTAATAGCAGGACCTGGAGCACTGGTAGACCACAGTGCTCTGTGAGGCTGACTTGCATGAGGAGGTCCGGATTTCTGTCCGGAGACCTCTGTGAGTACACTGGGCAGGTGTGTGCCCATGATCTGAACTGACTGTGGCTGGGGTGGATGGTGGTATCAAGGCCCTGCTGAGAGTTCTCTCTCTCTGTCTCCCTCTCTCATGGGAGAGATACACTTTAAAAAGAGTAGTAACAATAGCAAACACATATTTTTAAAGTACCAAACAGTATTCTAAGTTTTTCTACATATCTTATTTAGCTTTTATGACAACTCTATAAAGTAAGCGTTAACTTTTTCCCCCCTTTTACAAACAAGGAGACTGAAGTACAAAGAGTTTATGTAACTTCCTCAAGGTCACCTAGCTAATAGGTTGGGGAACTGGGATTTGAACTCGAGAAGGCTGGCTCTAGGGTCCTTTCCCTTCACCACCTCACTGTTTTGCCTCTAAACAGTTGAATTTGGAATGTAGTGGAAAAGTGATAAAAGCCTGCTAAACTCTAGAGATAGGAACACTGCACAGAATTTAAAATGTGCTGGAAACAATGAACTAATCTGTGAAAATGGGTAGCTGTTGTTAATCCTCATCTTATTTTATTTTTAAAACCACTTGATCGAGGTATGATTATACTTCTTGTATGTACTTGTATATACTTTTTGTATGTACTTGTTTTAAGTATTTTTTTATATAAGCGTTAGCAAACAATATATACAAATATATTTAGTATATACAACTTGATGAATTTGGAGTTAAAAATATCACCACAGTCTACGCTGTAAACTTATCCATCACCTCCGGAAGTTTTTCCTGCCTTCTTGCTTGTTATTGTTTTTGTTGTTATATGATAAGAACATGTAACCCAGGATCTATGTTTATCACTATTTTATAATAACGAAAGTATTAAGTCACAACCCCGAACGCCCCAGTTTAAAAGTCTAGATTAGAATCTAGACGTGTCTTGCTTTTCAGATTTTTAAACCATACCTTTTCATGTCTGAGAAAGGAATGTTATAATCCTGCTTTTACCACATTAATAATATCACACAAATCGATTTCTCCAAAGATCTGATTCACTGCAAACAGCACTGTAAAACTAAATTGGAGGTAGTAAAAAGTCCATGCCTAAATCTCCATAGTTAATTCTAGTCTTCAACTTAGCCTGTGTAGAGTAGGCTCCATTTTTACAGGATGTGTGTAGAAGGCAGGAAACTCCCCCCACCCAAGTGTAATTCTGATTTTGTCCGTTTATAGACAAGTGGGAACCAGTTTACTTAGCTGAACTTTGACTCTTAAGATGTCAACTTAACTTTGGAATTGTAATTTGACAACTTAGTGAATCAGAGTTGGAAAACAAGAAAGGAACACACTGATTTTGTAAAGAAAAAAATGTATATATAAGTTTTACATTGCTTTTTTGTTCAAGAGGTTTTGTTTGGCTTTTGAAGTAAAAAATCTTTAGTATTGTGAGCTTACCAGCAATGTCTATTTTGGAATTTGTTTAAAACATATAGACGTAGATACATATGTATCAGTGGCAGTGGCACTTTAGTTAGGGAGAAATATCTTCTATTTGTTTGCTAACTCTTATATAAAAAAATACTCAAAAGAAATGCAGTCCTGGGAATTTTCCAGAGCTAAGTTCCTTGCAGTTGGTGTGGTATTCCTAAGTGCTCTAAAAGAAATCAATGGGCTTAGTGTCTCTCCTTAGCATGCCTCAGGATGATCATTATCAGCAGAGAAGGTTTGGGCTATGATAAAAGGGATGGTCCTCCTAAATTAAATTAAAGAATTGCTGCAAGCCTTTTAAGATGACTTTAACAATTCAT